TGTGGTCAGCCAGCGATCTGGGGATTCCTACTAATGGCAAAGCAAATGAAAAAGTTGGAGGCTGACATCCATTTCCAGGACCTCTGGCATGTCGGATGACTCAGCGGCACTTGTATGTGGACGGGAGCTGGTTTTGGATTCCCTTGTAAACCGAACTGATTTGATGCTCCGTTGTGGCAGCGATGTTGGGATTTCTTAGTGATCCTTTTTGCTTTTAACTTTTCACGTGGGGATTTTACGAGAAACCTAATCGCATCGGCAGTCGAGCGGAGTGCTCCGGATGGTGCACGTAATTGCCCTTTCTGCCTTTTTCTGAGAGACTAGCTCAACTCCCGCTGGAACAGTGGAGCTCACCTGGAGCCAGGAATAGGGAGAATTCCCAAAGCAGTATCAAGGTAAGCAGGTGGGAGGTGGCTTGTCACCACCTACGAATTAATAGCAGTAAAGGGGATAAACAGGGAATCTATCCCCAATACATTGCTAGAAACAAAGCCAGTAAAGGGGAGCTCGAGGAAGGTCCGATTTCCTTGGCACCTCGGCCCTGCTTTGCAGCAATGTGAGATAAGCCTTGCTCTGGCTCATCAACTCTCCATGCTGTGAACCGCAGCAGCTCATTTGTTCGCAAAGAATGATAAATTCTGATTTTGGTAAGTTACTGTACCTTAGTATGAACTTTGCTTTTGACTAAAAAGGGATTTCAACAAAAGCAAACTTTTAACAGCCCCCTTTGAAAGTAATTTCTACATTGCTGGACAAAACAAGAAGGAAGAAGAGATTTTTTTTTTTAATCCAACTGTATTGCTAGTGTTTACTCTTTGGTTCCCTTGGACTTACTCTAATGGGATGGGGGAAATAGTTTTTTAAACTTTGCAGTAGCTTTTGGAGCAGTCAGTCTGAATTAGTCCGCCAGTCTTCCTCTGATGAGCATTAAATGCTTTTTGATCTTCCACTGAGATTTCCTGAATGAAGCGTAGATGCACATTTACATGTACATCAAAGCCAAAATCAAGGTATTTTCTTTTTCCTGCAATGCTGTTATGGATGCATTCATTAAAAAATGGTTCTGCCTTAATTTTGTTATCAGGCCAAATAGGATACAATTTACAAGGTCAGGCCACTGTCAAAGAGAAGTGTCACAAGAGCTTTATCAGCCCTGGGGTTTACAGCTGGGACATTGCAGGGCCCAGAATCGGAGGTTTTGGTCAGACCAGACGTATCCAGAGGATTATTAATGATACTCGGCGTGGTGGCCTAGATGTCGAAAGGCTACTTCAGGCATCATTTACTCTGCACTCGCCCCCTTCTTCCTATTTTTCTCCAGCCTCACTGCCGAGCAGCATCAAGAGATGAAGACTCTGTGGGATGAACCTCTGACTTCACACAACCTGCACTGCAGGATCTGAACCCGAGGTATCAGCATCCGGAACAGACGTAAAAGCTACGGTGCTCAGTTGAAGGTAAGTGCAACAACTGGCTTCTGGGGCAGTATCATGGTCACAGTAAGGTTTAATGAAAGAGTCAGACACTAAAAACCCTTAAATTTGACATTTTATTTCATTGCAGAAGAAAATCCAACATAGGCCTCATTATGTTATGCATCTTTAATTATAAAAATAAGCAAAGAAAATAACTTGCATCTTTCTCATTACTATGATATGTTTCAAATAACCTTTATATGAACACACTGAGCTTTAAAAATGTAATTTAAACAATAAATAATGACATATACCAGATATGCTCACTGTTTATTCCAGTACTCAGCAAAAAAAAAACAACCAAAAAACAAAAAACCCAAACTCTCTCCCCCTTCTAAGTATCTTTAAATTATAAATACATAATGCAAATTTATAATGGCACAAAACATCTAAAGTGCAAACAAATCACAATGAGAATCATGCAAACATTTCTAGATAAGCCCCTCCCTGCCCCCAAGAGAAATCATTTTGCAATGAATGCAAGATTAAAAAAATAAAGCATTAGAGATTAAATAAAATGTGAAATAGCTGGACTTAATATTGAGAATCATTCCCCATCCCCAGGGGGATCTCTCTCACCTAATTCAAACCATCTAAAATCAGGCACCCTTCCCAGTCGATGGGAAGCGCCTCTCCCATCTCCATGTCCCCCTGCCCTGATAAGAGAGCGCGTTAAACGACCAGCTTAGGCTAGATGGCAAAAGTTAGGCAAGGTGAACCCCAGGCCTTCTGATTTTAGGGATGTGTGCTTGCGGCTTCCTTACTACACCAGCGTAGGGAAAAACGTGACACATTAAAGCAGCTCAAAAATGTCGTGATGTAGTCGAGGCTCTCTCCGACACGAGGCATCCGGTGAGTCCCCAACAGCAGTGCCAGTGCAGAGAGGCAGAGCTTTGGTTTGCACAGGTGATGTTTACCTGTGACACCAGAGCAAATCGAATCGGGGGGAATTATTTTCCCAGTCATCTTCCCACCCGTATTAAGGGGACGACAAGTTTAAATTCCCACTGGAAAAAGAAAGTTAATTCTGACAACCCCAAAAGATAGGGTTTGGGGTAATCTATCCTCCTCCCCAGCCCCAAATCAACTTTATAAACCTTCTCTGGGTTTTCATAGAAATGGATGCACAAAGCAGCAGAGAAGCCACTTGCCATTAGGAGCATCTCCACGGGAAATTGTGTCCTCAGTGAGCTCTGCTAGTGCGAGCCCGCGGGGACCTTGGGTACCCAAAATGGGAGCTGCTTTGCATAGCCCAGCGCTGGGCTCCGTAACACCAGTGCAGCCATCCAGGCGGTTGTTTGGACACTGCCTCGAGCCAGGTAAAGACCTTTTTGTAACTATTTCCCCAAATAGCGGTATGCACTTGATGCACAAACCCCAGCAGAGTTCCCTGTTTAGTAATCCCCGTCTCCTAACGGTGTGGCGTGAGGTGTGATGCTGTAGGGTGGAGAGTCGCACGTGCACAGTTCTGGGATCAGTTCCTAAGCGTAAGTCAAACTTTTAGGGTCAGGATATTCAAGGGGCCTTTGGTTTTCACCTTGCAAAACTTTGTTGTGTTGGACTCCATATACCTGACTGTGATTTAAGAACGAGCAATATTGCATCTTGCTTGCCCTGGACGGCACGATTCAGAGTATTAACAAAAATAAAAATAAAATAACAACCCTCTACCGTCAGCAACATTTTTTGCTGCTTACAATTTTACGACAGCACTTTTGGGCTACATTTAATGAAGACAGCAATATTAGAAATGCTGCCACTGCATCTGGTTTCAATATATTAGCAGCAAGTTATTGTTTAAAGGCTTTGTGGTTTAAAAAAAAAAAAAGAGTTATATTGCTTTAGATTTTGAAAAGAAAAATAGATCCCTCCTTTATTAGCTCTCTAACTAGTTGAGCAAGAGTCATCCACTCTGCAGACGGACTCTAACGGGATAGATTTGGAGCATGGAACTGGCCTTGTTGATCGCATGCCACAATGTGGCTTTTTTTGGCTCACCGAAGCCCAGCCAGACTACTGTGCAGAGCGGCGTTTGGGGGAGGCCCCCAGCTACTGCTGCGGGACCGGCTGCTCCGCTCCTGTTCTGAGGCTGCCGAAGAGGTGGATGGGAGGAAAGGCAGATCCGAGAGCATTAATGCATGTGTCCTCTTAAAGGCAGGCACATTGCTTTACTTCTGAAGCTTAAGAGAATTTAAGGATGTTTCCTGCCTTTCCCCAGAAATCAACTTTCTCAAGTAGGTTTTACCCTGTGGCAGCTATGAGATCCCAAAGCAGCTTTTTGTCAGCCATCCGATAATTCCCCAAATAGCTCTCCAGCAGCACTCGTGCCTTGGGTATAACTGCGTCTCACAGCAGCTCTGTGGAGATAGGACTGGCCAGTCTGAACTCTTTTTTTTCCCCTCCGTGTTAACTATGAGAAGAGAGGCTTGTTTCTGGCCCTGTAATTTCTGTCCTAAACATTTTCCCTTTCATTATAAAAAGGCCACAGAGTAGAATGTGAACTCTTGAATATGACAGAGATACTGTTTCCAGGAAAAAAGAAATAGCTAACTTACAAAACTAAGTTTATGCAATAAAGTTATTCTATTCTGCTCCTTTTAAGCAGACTCTCGTGGAATTTATGTACAGTACATGACAGATTTTAAAACTATTTATACCACAGTTAGAGCAAGACCTTTAATACTCTAGTCTTAAGACAGGGTTTGTTTTTGTTAGATTTCTTTTAAAGCTTTAGACAGTTAAATACAGTACATAGATGTTAGCTTTTAAATACAATGCAAGATTATGTAACCTTCTGACTAGCTTCGACCATAGACTGGCACCTCTTTTAATCATTTCCGTAGTACAAAATGTTCCTTTCCTGATTTGGTGTGTGTCGGGGGGGTAGTTTTAACCCATTTTGCACTGTGGTGCCAGGTCACGGTAACTAAAATCATCCACAGCTAGCGAGTTTAGTCAATCAACGGGTTAACGGAGCTGTATTGGAAGGATTAGGACTGTATGACACTAAGAGACCAGGAATATGACATTCATATTCGTCCATGGCCAGCACAGATTCATAACACGAATTCCATTGACATCTTTAGGATGTGCAATAGTTATTAGTGCATCTATCGTTGCCTACCAGCTTACTACAAGAGAGAATAAGCTATTCTCCTTGGTGCCAAATCTTCAGACTTCAATGGTGTTAGCGCTACAGTACATTTAGAGTTTGGTGTCTGAAGGCCTGACTACTGTACGGTTATATTTAAGACTAAGATCGTTTGGGGTATCTTTTTGTGGGGAAGAAAAGAGATGGAGACATTTTGACGGTGGGAAAGCTGAGACACTGAACACAGATCCATGCAAAAGTTTTGTTCAAAAGGAATAGAAAATATTAATGACTAAATCTAAAACCAGTTCCTAGTTGTTATTAAAACTAGCTACAGTACACTTGGTTTGGGTGCATTACTCTTCTAGAAGAGAGACGTCAGCTTTGGTAGTGCTTAGCATCCCTTACACACCCATTGTCGCTCCCCCGAGGCGTTACGCGCTTTCGGCGGAGCTGCGCTTTGCGTGGGCCGGGACAGACCCCTCACCTCGGAGGTTCCTGAAGTAGAGTTTTAGCTTCTGCGGCTCGGTGATACGTCTCCTGGTGAAGTCCGCACGTGGGTGGCCTTGGGCGCAGTGATCTGTCTGCAGCAGGTGGAAGAGGCTTGCCATGTTGGGCCCAATCTTCTCCATCAAGCTGTCCTTGATGGTGCTGACAGTCTCTTCATCACACTCCAATAAGCTTCTCACCAGCTTGTTGTAATACCTGCATGAGAGTTACCATCCGTTACTCCAAGGCATCTCCCAGCAAGACCAAAGAAACAAGGTAAGAGCTGATCTCAAGCCAGTAGACCAGTCCAAGCAATAAAACTATGAGAATCAGAATTTTTAAGTCATTCAGGGTGTGTTTGAAATTGATTTTCGACTGCACAATGTACATGTTCTCACTGCATCTAACAAATGCCCTGGCGCTGGAGATGCTGTGCCCATGACATACGGAAGGAACACAACCCATCAAGCTTCTAATTTAGTCGTCCTAAATGAGCAGCTGCTCCAGCAATAAAAGGTAAGGCTATAAGCACAAGTGATTTTGGTGTTACCTGGTGGATTGGGAAGAAGGTGAGAGCGAGGAGCTAAGACGATCTAGTAACTGGCTTAAGTGTGTGTTTTACTCTCCACTAAACAACCTGAGTTTCTAGAGCTTGAGGAAGAAAAATAATTGCATCTTTCTAATAGACAGATACTGCCCATCACCAGACAGGATAACAGACTAAATAGACCACTGGTCTGAGCCAGTACAACCCTTCCTACAAATGCATCCATCCCTGTGGCACCTTTCGTCCCTCTCCCTTCCCCTCCATGCACAGCCTTTAGCAAGGGACCAGAAGAGGGAAAAGCAAGCTCAGTCCAAGTCAGAGCCTGACAGATGCATGTACTCCCTGGGGGCAGATCTTTAGGACATACAATCAGTTGTCACTTCCAACAAGCTGACTACGCATTAAATCACAAGTGAGGACCTTATGCTTTGCCCTGTTGCGTGCCTGCCTCCTCTACAGCCTGCTGCTGCATTTTCGCCTTCCAGCAGCCTTGAGTACGCGTTCCTTGCTCAAGGAGGGAGCCAGGAAATTGTGCTGATCTGTTTCCCCAGCACTGCTTGAGCTGAGCGCAGAACAGTGCTCAAAGGAACGATCCTCCGCGGGGCTACGGCAGAATCAGCACAGCCCTGTGTGCATGGCTGGCTCGAGTAGGGAGAGCAAAGCTGGCAAGTGGGACCTCACTGTACAAGAGAACATCTTCCTAGGGAGAGAAAGTTGGGAAAAGAGGAGCAGTCCCATATTTGCTGGGCTACTTCTGCCTGAAAGGACATCGGAGAACTTATTTTAAGCCTTTAAGGTCACCGTGACATTTTTCCACAGGAGCAGAGAAGAGAATAACCTGCAGGTGGAGGAGGGGAAGGAAGAGGGAAATGAGAGTTCACATTCAAACTCCTTTCCTAACTCTCAGCTCTGGCCTTTAGAGCAGCCAGTGGAGGTCAGGTGGGGTTAAAGTTTCTGCTGCACTTGAAGTACAAAAGGACGAGGCTTTGGCACGGTGGAGCACAGTGCAAGCGCAGCTCGGCAGTGCTAATATTAAGGTCTAAAGCGTGCACAGTAGTTGTTGATGAATACATCTGTGCGAGCCAGGCATCCAGCGTAAATCAGTCCCAGCCTAACAGGACAGGAGGAACAGATCCTATGCACCTTCCTCTGCGGCGCTGCCTACACCTCCTTCATACAAATACAGCTTGGCGGTTTCCATAGCTGGAGCTGCAATCAAACAGCTCGCTAGTGCCTTTCAGCAGCTACAGTGCAAGCAAAGGCAACAAGGCTTTCCTCTCCTCCTGCTCCTGCCATGAGATTAAATCACAGGAAGATGCTATGACCTTTAACTACTTCCTCTCAGTGTCCCAAGCCAAGTGGCACATTCTTATTCTGTGGCTATGTTGGGACAGGGGCTGGGAAAGCAGGATGCTTTAGGAGACCTCAGTGTAAACTATTAGCTGGGAAATCCTGCTGCTTTTGTTACTCAACATGTCATAATATCCTTTGGCTTCGACAAGGGTTGGCGGCTGTGGGGGAGGAGTTCCCTCTGCCTCGGGAGACAGCGGCTCCAGTTCAGGGTCGGTCCTCTGGAGAGGAACATCCCCAACACGTATAACGCCGCTGCTGCTATCACTGCATCCTCCCCTCGCTCAAGTGTCCACACGTCCCCCCTTCACCCCAATGCCCCTACAGCCCTGCCAAGAGCTGTTTAACTCTACAATCCATTGTATTAACCTGAACTGCTCTTTCAGCCTGTAAAACACTGATGCCACAGTGCTGCCTGCTCCTCGTCCCAGCCCTTGGGGGAATGCTCAAGCAAACCTCTTCCAAATTTGCCAAGGAGAAGAGGGGAAACACACACAAGTATAATTTTCGCCTTCCCACAAGTATCATTTTCCGGATATAATATCTGCAATAGAGTTTTCTATAAGAAGTTTATGCTGGTCAGAGATGCGACATCTATATATCACTTGCATACCTGTCCTAGGATAGGCCTGGAGGTTTAAGATGCTTCTAGATTAAGTCAAACAGCCACCCCAGAGGAGCTGTAGCATTCGCCGCAGCCAGCCAACATGTTAAATTGCAGCTTGGTCTGTTTGCACTCAAATTCTAGAGCATATTTACTCAAACTGTTCAAAAAGATCCCTTTTATCCCAATCACAAGACTCAGCACTGATTGTTCCAGGGTTTAGAGGAAGAAATCCCTGCCCTTGCAGCGTGACTGCGCAGACTGCAGTAGCTCCCTGAAGCTTCTCTCTGTCCCTTGTCCTTGGAGGATGGGGACAGGGCAGTTCTGTGCTCAGATAAAGGCGCCAGAAAGCAGAGTGACGTGCCCATTTCTGCAGGCAGCCTTTGCTATCAAGAAGGAACAGGGGTGAAGACAACCCTAAAAGAGACCATTAAGAACATCAGACTATCCCTAGAAATATGGGACTACTGGATCATGGCAGAATAAGGTTCTAGAGGAGCCTGTTCACTGATTCCCTTTAAGCTTTCCTAGTTCTTCATATTGCCATGGTAAGTCAGAGGGCAAGGCCTCATTTGCTAGGTGTCATATAAACCCAAAAACGGGGATGGCTGCAGCCTGAAGAAGTGAATGAAGTTGCAATAGGTTGAGAAGCTCTTATGTGCTAAATATGCCAGAGATGCTATATTAATCAAACTGGTTTGGTATTTAAAAAGCTCTGTTTACCATTATATTGCATTCAAACTAAAAGAACTAACATTTAAACAAACTCCATGCTTTGAAGTAGTGTATGTCTAGTTAATTTTATGATTCTCCCCTGGAGATGTTTATAAGTGTATTTACCAAAAAGAGAATCAGAAGAATGCTGGTAAAACTTAATAAGGATTTGAAAAGGCAGAGAGCATTGCTTAGGCTAAGCTATATTAGGACTTGTAAGAAGTTAGTCAACTTGGTTCCTCTCCCTCTTCCTCTGTGCTTCACATTTCTCCATTTGATGCATTTCAGCTGAGGAAAGCTCCACGTACCGGTTTGAGAACTGATTTGGAAGCTGGACGACCTCCGTGATGGCTTCGGGATTTCGTTTCGCAATGCCGCACATGTCCAGTTTGCTGTAGCACTCCTCTTGCACTTCGGAGATCATTCTTTGGAAAGTGGAGCACCTCCGGATGGCAAGGAACACCTTGGACGTTACCCCATTTGCAATGCATTTCAAGCTTTCTTTCACAAAAGCTTTTCCCTGGAAACAGAAGAAAAACCTTAAACTGCAACAGATTTCATAGAAAGGGGTGTATGAACAGATACTCCGCTGTGGCTGGCTGCTATTAATTACCCTTGCTGCAATTACAGACCTGCTGGAGGTCCCTTACCAAGCACGGCAGGGAATTGGACCCTAAATGCTCGCAATTATTGTATAGTTATATTCACAGCAGTTTCAGTTGGGATGCACACAGTTCAGGGAGAACAGCGAGCTCCTGTTCCCAAAAGATTTAGGCAATGGAAGTCTTTGCGCGAACAGACCTAAAAGTGCCAGCACCAGAGATGGGCCAATTCTGCCCTCTGGGAGGGGGCCGGACCACTCGCTGCATACCAGTGATTTAACGCATCTGGCTCACCAGACCTCAAGATGCTTTAAGAGCTTTTAAGTTTGTCCTTGGGAGCGAGAGCGCAGGGAATGAGGGGGCGTGCACATTTTGGGAAGAAAGTACGAAGGAAAAGGGCCCTTGGCAGAGCCACAGTCCTCTGATATTATCCTATTTATTCTGCTGCAAGCGCCTGCAGCTCTGGAGAGACTGATCTGGCCGTGCATTCCCAGGCCCGAAGACTTCCAATTCAAATCCCAGCCCTGTGCCAGGTCACACAGTCAGAAGACTTACTTTGTTAGAAGAACGTTTGTATTTCCTCCTGAAGAGGAAACTTAGCTCTCCGCCCCACAAAACACTCCTTGCCAAGTCCTCACACATAGCATACAGTATGTGGAAAATGTGCTGTAGAAAATAGTCCTGAAGGATGCATTTGTAGCCAAAAACCGAAATCATGGTTCAGAGGAGTAGCTAAGCAGCAGGAAGGGCTGCAAGAAAGGAAGGGTTAAGCCTGCACAGACCCCATCTCCATGAGGACAGAGAAATTAAGGCATCCATTCAGCAAAGCATTTAAGTACATGCTTTAATGCTGCAGGACTTGTAAAAGCACTTTATTGAATCGGGGCATGAAAAGGGAGCTCTAACGGCGAGGTATTATTCTTGTCCCCTTTATACTCGCACTGTACCTGAGTGTCAAATTTAGCAGCACTGTACAGGAAGGACTTGCAGATGTCGTACATGCCATCCGTGTCGCACGTGGAGTTCTCCAGGCAGGCGAAGGCCCCGCAGCCCACCTGAAGGGCACTGTTCAGACAGCGAACCACCTCGGCTGCAGAGAGAGGCACAACGTTACGTACGCACCACTCCCCAGTGCCTGACTCCGTAAAGCCCTTCTCCGGCGCAACGTCAAGTCATGCTCAACGGCAGTCAAGCAGTAGCCTTATTGCTTTTCGGGACTGGAGGGAGAGGTAACGAAGAGAGGCCAATGGCACTGCCAAAGGAAGTTTTTAACTGAAGTCATGCAACAGATCACCAGCAAATCAAGGAACAGAAACTGCAACTACCGAAACCTTCAATCGGTTACATACGGATTAAAAGAGAGGCAACACCTGATAGTCTTTGGCTAGGTGGAGACTTACAGGTCCATCCCAACCTAAGTCTGATTGCATGCATTTACAGCTTTGTTCAGAGTTCCTCTAAAGAAGGCAGAGGTAACGAGGATGGGCCCGTGAAGCGCACTGGGTGGTGAGGTCTTCTCCATGGTCTTAGGCCGAAGGGAGGTCAGAGCAGCTTGGCAGCATCTGGCTCACAAACCTCATTTGAAACTGAGACTGAAGTGATGGCGATTGCAAATAAGCTGGCATGAAATTTGCACTTACTGCGAGGAAGCACTGGTTTTGCTAGCTTTGGAGGTATTTGTGCTTTTCTAAAAAGCATAAAGTATCTAGAAATAAGATTTTAGTTTGTGTGTCAATTATCAGTACTACAAAGGACTTGAACGAGCAGCTTGGTGCTAAATACGAGCCTGGTACCCAGCAGTTTGCAAGCATAGCCAAGAAAGGCCATATTGCTGATGATTCGCAGAGAGAAGGGACATTTGGGCAGAGAAAGTTAAGGTAATGGAGCTGACCATGTATAATTAAAATCATTGAGGCAGTAGTTAGTCTGAACAGGAGGGTATCCATGTCATCCCATCTTTTTTAGTGCAGATACTATGCATTTTAACAATGAATCAGCAGTATTGCCACATGATTGCCCTGAAATTAGTAGGGATTAACCTTTTTTGGTGAGCTGAACATCTGTCCCCCTATGTGTCTGTGCAAAGCATATTCATTACTTTTGCAGATCATGTTACGAGACATTCTTTCGGAAGAAATGCAAACCCAGCGTCTCCCATCAAGATCCTAGGTGTGGGAAAAGTGAGGATTTGCATTTAGTGGAAGAGAACACACCTTATTAAGAGCTAAGTTGTAGCCTAAAGATGTATCTATATAACTAAGATCTTTACAGAAAAGAGGAAAAAAAAATAAAATAAAAAAAAAAATCACCCAATTAACCCCTCCTCATTCTCCGCTCTTGCTTATGTGCCTGAAGGGAGAAATATTTGGTAAGATCATCCTCTCCCCAGTTCATAACCTCACCATCGCACAAGTCATTCCCATAATTATGTTTCCACAGGTTCAAATTATAACTTTGCTTTCAGCAGACTTAGTATGCATTAAGCTTTTATTGTTTTAGGCACGGTGCAATAGTGAGACCCTATGTTTCTATAGCAACCAAATACAAAAGGAAATTGAGCAAACACCCTAGTATAATGCTGCAGAGCCTTGCAGATCTAAAATAAGACATCTGTTAATGAGCTCCAAATTAGAGACCTAATATCTTTTCAGTATACTAGAAGACAGATTTTTAATTTCCATTGTTCAAGACAATGTGTCCAACTTATCTAAGCATCTATAGTGCAGAAAGTAAGAGACATCCAGAGCTGACTTGCCAGCAATTTCTTTATCCATTGTAAAAGCAAGTTTGCTAAATGTCACAATCGTATTTTTATGGTACCGTCTAGCTGATAGCAATCAGTTTTTGAAAATAAATGCTAGCAGTGGACAGTTTCTAGGTTACTGCATTCTTCAAAGTCACATATCTCTCTCCCCCTCTTTGAATAGACAGATGTTTGGCAGAACAATGGTTCAGTCAAATTTCCACGGATTTTATCAACTTCCTAAAAAGCAAGGAATTTAACACCAAAGTATGATTGCAATTGGAGAAGAGAGAAAGACACATGCAAGCAGGGGAGAAAAAAAAAGTACATGGAACTCATTTAGTAGATGGGGGAGGAGGAAAGAGAATGGATTGCATCCTGCAAGCAGATCACACACCGGTTCCCTGACCCAGCTCCTGAAAGAAGAAGATTTCTTCTCCAGCTATGCACCAATATCCTACTGAATCAGACCCTTAAATTAGTATTTGTTCCTACCAGCCATTAAGTTTATAAGCAAAAAAAAAAAAAGGAAAAAAAAAAAGAGGAAAAAAAAAAAGAAAAATCAGCAGTAGAGATATCTGAAACAGTTTAACACATCAGGGTTCAGGCTCAAAGCCCTCCTTGCTGCGTGTTACCTGAGTTCTGGGCTGCAACCCTGGGTTTCCTGGGGCTCACAGAGTCATTCTGTTCAGCTTCATAGGATGCAGATGCACTGATCACCAGCAGCAGGAGAAAACCAGACTTTAGGAGCATTCTCTGACAAGTTTCCGCTAAGTGTGGTTTTTTGGGTGGGTTTTTTTTTTTTTTTGGGTGTATGTGTGTGTGTGTCTCTCCTCTTCCACTTCGGCTTGAGCAAAGATGTGGATCTGGATACGCGCTCCCAGGGAGAGAGAAAGGAGTCTGCTGAGGCTCGGGGACGTGCCGCAGCCCTGCTCTGCCTGGCCCCTCTGGCTCCTGCTCGCTGGGGGACCAGGAGCAGCGCTGAGGGCTTTTATAGCCGCCCTTATCGGTCCCCCCGCGGGCTGCCGAGCCAATCGGGAGGCGCTGGGCAGAGCCAATGGCAGACTGGACTCATTCAAGCCCCAGAAAACTGCAACTTCACAGGAAGAATATTTTCCAGCCAATTAAAAGTACCTGCCAAACAACAATAACCAAAAAGTTAATCTTTGGAGAGGCGGTGGGAAAGGGGGGGGACGACTTCCTATGGATAATTGAGCTCAAGGAAATGACAGGGCAGTCCTAAATCTTCCCCCACCCCCCAAAAAAAAAAATCACCTGCCCTTTAAGAAAAGATATTTTCCCATCCGTTTAGCAGTTATCCCAGGGCTACAGCAGCTTTGAAGAAGGGAAGGGGCATTTTTGTACGGTACGTACAATGGGGGCTGGCACCGAGCCTTCCCGCGGCGGGTCAGCCGCGTGACCTGTCAGGCAAAGAGGACGTACCTGTGTGCGTGCAGATGGGAGGCATCGCCTCTTGCCCGCCAAAGCACGTGTGCGCAACACTGAACCCGTGTATGAACACACTACACCTCACGTAGGCACATGCAAATACCCTCTCGGTGCCCAAAACCTTATTTCTCGTACACCGCATTCCTTATCTTCCTCTCACTTGGACAATTACGTTCACAAAATCATGCGTTCATACCTCAGACTTCAGCATAGCCTTGCTTTTACTGCTTCCCAGTGAAGCTCAAGACACAATTTTTTAGGTGTTTGGTGGTTTTCCTCCCCCCCCAAATTCAATCCTGTTTTTCAGATTTCATAATGGGAGGAGGCACCCTAATGCTTGATTTAATCTTCATTTTAATAGGCACATAATGAGGATTAACACACTAGAGAACTGATTATCCTGTATACCAGAGACAATTTAAGGCTCTGACTATTTAAGGGATGAAAGTATAAGCAGTAGTATTAAGTCTTAGAGCTGAAAGGAAATTGGGAAGGTGCGTGGAGAAAGAAGATTTATAGATAAAAAGTTACAAGTTCCTGCAGCTTAGAATAAGTTGAAAGATTTAGATATCAGGTATTACTGATCAGAGATGAGATAGCTTCTTTTGGATCTTGAGCATGTTTGATTTCCACTCAGCTATCCCCAGGATCTTTTCTGTGAAGGAAAAATACTCATCTCTGTGGTGTCAGGCAAAGAAACGCAGCTCGAACAGATTCATAGATCCGTCCACGTACAGAAGTTCTGTTTGGATGAACCAATTCTACAAATCTCATTCAAGTGGAGGTGCAAAAAACTTCGTCCTGTGGGCATTCATTCAGGTTTATGGGTGGCTAAATTTAAAAAGTCAATAAGGAAGCAATTTAAAGAAAAACAGAAGTAGCCTCTTCCTTAGCAGAGCTCCAGAAACAGTGCCCACTGCTTTACCTCATTCCTGTCTTTTTTTTGCGTAGGTTTGACAGCTCTGACCGTGACAACGGGACCACTCTGGTTCCTCACCCCTTCCCTGAGCTCCGGTTTCTTCTGAGAGGGAGCTGACAGCTCAGTTTGGGCTGCGCAGCCCCATTCGTGTTGGCATATTTGGTGTCAGCTTCAATTGGAATAGGAACAGGAGTGAGGTTGTACTCCTGCCTTGGGGTCAAAATAACAGCTGTGCCAGATGTTCCAAGAACGTTCAAAAAGCACTGAAACAGAAGGGTTTCGGGTTTCGTCTCAGTTTTGTGACACTGAGCCAACTTCATTAAATAAATAAAAAAAAAAAAAAAAAAGCGCAGCCCTGCAAAAGCACTGTGGTTTCTCTACTTAATAGGACCAGTCCAGTTCACAAGTGAGAATAATCCCATAGGGTTTGATTCTGATTAAATGAAAAGCAACTCTGGCATTGACTTCAATGGGGGATGAATCACCATTCTATCTAAGTCCTATTTGGAGTGGAAGCATTGCATTTTCCACAAAATAGAATTTCAAACTCAAAGCCCGATTTCTCCACCCCTTCACCCCCAAGGTGAACATTCCTACTTGTCTTTTTTAATGTTTCAATCTGAACTGAAGTAGTTTGCAAAACAAAACAGGTTGTCCTGGCCCTCTGAGCACGTATACATCCTGATTTGAGTCCAAGTGTAAACAAAAATTAGTAGCAAGTAGTTCCTATAGGTACTAAAATTCTTCCAGCACATTTTCTATTCTTTCTCATGTCTTTATTCCAGGGCTGATTTACTCCTTTAGGGACAGATTTAGTATTTGTACCTGCTGCATATTTTTAAAGCAACCAGTTTTAATTATGGATAGCAATAACAGGAGATTAAGATGAGGTTCAGTTTGGTAATGGGAACAGGCACTACAATACAGTCCGATATATTGGATCGGGACACATGCAAACATTATAATACCAGAAAAACTTTACTGAGTCTCCAAAAAGACCTTGTGAAGGCAGTACCTTTATTACTGCTTTAAGGAAGCAGGAAAATGAATTCAGGAGTGAAGGACCCATACTGAGTTGCTGTCAAATTTGGCAGGAGACTTGTGCAAGCAAATTTCTGCATGAGACATTTGAGTCCTTTGCTACCAGAGCATATTTGCATTACTTATTTTGCATTCTGAAGGCAACAAGAACTGCAAAATCCCCCTGTAACTTCCATTCTGCACTCACTGTATGATGGCAGAGGAGCTTGGCTTCTCTCCTGTACTCAAGCTTTTAAAGGGAAAAAGAACCGGTGCAGGAATCATTGGACTGTTCAAAGATCAGTGGTTTGCCCACTCCAGGGTCATGCCTTTAAGACCGTTGCTAGAAGGTTTAGGGACACAAGAAGAATATTCATTATGGGATAAGATTTTCCCTAAAAATCTTCCCTCCTCCTGTTCTCAGTTAACAGCTGGCCTAGACCCTAGAGATCTCACCAGAAAAGAAAAAAAAAACCCAAAAATAAAAACTGCAAAGAAGTTCCACTATTTGTTACTAAAGGCTCGACATAACCTGCCAGAAGAATTTCCTCTGTAGCTTCCCTTACAGGTTAAATGCTGCCCTGAAGTAGAGGGGTTTGTTTCCTGGCTGATACGTGTAGAGAAAAAAACAGAAAGGCACTGTTAGCCCTGAGCGAACCGTCCCCTTCTTTCCATTTCCATTCAAGAGATCCTATTAAATTGAACAGTACACACTATTGTACCACTGTTAGTCTGTTCCCAAGGTGTTAAGATTTTTGTCCAGCCTCAATAAGAAATATGGGGGAACAAATAAAAGAAAAGAACAAGAAAAGAGGGGAACCTAAAGCCAATAACCCCCCCGCTTTGTGCTCCGCTGCTCCCTGGCTGGAAGCTGCTGCGAGGGCAGCGGCCCCCCCCCACCATTGTGTAACTCGATCCCTGCCCACCTTTCAGCCCCCCTTTCCCAGCACAGGACCCCTCCATTCTCTCCGCTCCGGAGGGACGTGAGCAACTGCATCACCTCGGGAGTTAGCAACGCTCTGCTGGTTCGTCCCTGCACGTCTGCTCCTTCCAAGCAAACGAACCTCCTCTAATGCCGCCTCTCGCGGCAGCGACACTTCGGCACACACGTACGCAGCCACCCCACCCTTTCCTCGCGGCTCGGCCGGTTGACACACTGCAGTTAACTCTGTTAACACACAAATGGGATGGCTGGAAGGAGCAGCATCGTGCGTGCGGGGTAGGCTTGCATGGAGCAGGACCCATGTCCAGCAAGGGGCAGAGCGTGCTCCCTCCTCACCGCAACTTCAACGTGCGTGGGACCTCATGGGACACGCTCCGTGTGTTATACGGATCAAACCTGCGCTGTCTGGAGGCCTTGATAGCTTGCCAGTCGCCTGCGCGCATCTCACTGGACCAGATCCTCAACAGGTGTACGTTAGTATAACCACCAAATTCAGTATTAGCCCTTCATCTGCGCCATTATTCTGATGCGTCACTACATGCTGTCTGGATGCAATTCCCCATTGTAGAGTTATAAACCAGGAGTAGCTTCAATTACACTGACAGTATAAAAGCAAAGTAGGGGAGAGGCTAAGCAGAACCTTTTAATTTGCTTAGCCCAAATGAATAACCCTGGCTGCACCAGTGCAAGTGATGTCAGAACTTGTTCCAAAAGGCAGGATACAATTTAAGAGTTACCTGGGTGTCTGCCCCAACAAAGCCACTTGGATCTGTTTACAGGCTTTGGCCTTCGCTCCATAAACCTGGCAACAACAACAACAAAAAATCTGCTCAAAATCTTGTTATTAAACAGAGGGATTTAATATCTCTGGTTTATATGCAAAAAGTCAGAATAGGTTTAATGGTGTCACGACCACCGTATGTTTAAGGTACATTTGTTTAATGCCCAACATAAGGTTGCAACTATTGTCTTCTACTGTGTTTCAGTTAATCGGAAACATAAATGAAGGCAAGTTAAAGGTCTTCTCATATGACTGTACTACATGATTTATACACTTCGCATAACTTGATTTTTTAATAAAAGGAATTATGTATTTTAGTATATTTCTGCTGGGATTGTTTTGTATCTTGTAAATGCAATGCATGATGAAAAGTGATTACTAATAATAACCCGGCATTACTTGTAATCCTATGCTCTAAATCCTGACTGCCTGTTTCAGTGGGATTTTGATTAAAACCAAATGTGCATCACATATCAGATACATAAAGAACTTTCAGCACTCAATTCCTGGTACCTTGGTCTGATCCAGGCAGTGAAAACACTCATCTGTGGAAGGTGAAACAGTCCTTTAAAGGCATTGCTGTGGCAGGCTGACAGCTTCACTCCACTCTAACCAAACACGGATATCACTGGCTTGGCCTG